GTGCTGCAGCGCGCGCGTTTTTAATGGCCTGCTTGGTGTAGCCGCGTTGGGTTCCTTTGGACTTGGCCAATAATGACAGTTGCCGTTCGCATTAAATTCAAATTGTTAGCATTGCATATAAAGGTACGTTGATATATGTATATACGTACATATGTGCTTACTTATGTATTTATTGCGTTTATACATATGTATGCACATAGATAACTAACTGCCCACGGTTTTTGAATTGAATTGGAGCTTGCAAGTGAATAGGCTCAAAGTTGCATTCCAAGTTTATTTTTAGCTATTACTGCAGCTTTTAATTTTTGTAATTGGATTGTAATAATTTGTATTGTTGTAATATATATGCAAAAAAGCAATAATTATGCACTAGTTTGTGCATTCAATAGAATAAATTTCATTTTCTTTTGAGTTTACCATAATTCTCTAATTTAGGTGAGGTTAGATATGTTTAATGAGCAAGCACTCAACGGAAGGCTATTTGACAACTGTTGGGTGTGTTTAATGGGTGCATGGCCAATAACTTGCTTCGCTGATTTATTAAATTTGCGATTATTCAAAAGGAAGTTTAGTAAAATAAACAAATTTTCAGTGAAATAAATAAATATTATTAAATAAAGTCAAATATATTGTTTACAAATGTTACAATGTGCACAACTTCTTTGTGCACGAATTGGACCGCACATTGTTTTTGTTACCGTACCGCGGCGTGAACTTTCCTTACCAATTTTTAATTATAGTGGTTTTTAGTTTGTTTACTTATAATAATTATTGCAAATTAACTATTTTCTTGTTTTTTTTCAATTCGTGGAAATCGTAACGCTTCTGTGTTAATTTTAAAATTTTTTTTATTTTTTTTTTTTGCAATTGGAAGCTAAATGTGCATCATAAATTTGAATTTTGGAGATTTTTGTCGTAAGTGGTGGGAGTAATCTGAGGATAGGGTTTGCTTTCGTCATTTCGTCCATACATTCTTGTCTGATAATATAAAATCCGACTGCGAATTCATATACGCTGAAAATATAACATAAATGCGCAAATACGAAATAAAGGACAGATTGGGCAAGGGATTAACTAATAAAATCATTGGTTAAAACAAATCGGACGCATAGCCAAGCACACAGTAAATCTTTTTATTTGTTACTTGGGGAACCCGACAAGGAGAAAAAAATATTTGGTGGCAACCGCTGAGGTATTAAGTCGTCTGTCTTCACGTATCTCAAACTTCATTGTTCTTTATGGTAAATTTTGGACGGCCTGCATTGTTGTGAATATAGTTTTAAAATGGCTTCGTAAGTGAAAATGCTTCAAAGAATTATCCTTGTGACTTACAGAGAAAAATTCACTTTATTTTTAATTGACTGCGAATAAAATTTTAATTCTCGGCACATAAAACTATATATGTTTGACTTTGTAAAATTGCTTAAAAAGATATTAAATTTATAGGGGACTAACATCAAAGATAGTGAAATAAAAAGTTTCTATTTGCTGTAGTCGCTCCTCGATAGATCATCTTAAGCCTCCAAGTGTTTTACTGACATAAACTAGGACGCACACCACGAAATCGGCCGGAAAGCACTTCAGAGGTTAGAAACTGCCTATTATATAAGGTATGCCGATATGGCGACAAAATTCAGTACTCCTCGTGACAGCTGGGTATTTATATCAGAATCAATTGAGTCGGATCTTTATCCTTAAAAGGACTTTTGACAAAAGTGGCTTGGGGTAGCTGGACTAATTATACGAGTACAATATATTTTTATGAAGATCTTATACCTTAAATTATATCTACAATTACTATGTATGTAAGTTTTAAGTCTATAGAATCGAAGATACTCTAATATATGGACTTCCGCTGCATTTTAGATTACGTTACTGTATAACCAAAATCGGCTATATATTTGCTTTTTCTAAGTACATACATACATATAATCCAGTGCATGATCTAAGCACCCTCTTCCACGGTTAATGGCTGACCGGCTGTCGTTGGTAGCAGGAGCATCATCATCATCATCAGCAGCCAAAGGCAACGCAACAGAGAGAACCATTGAAGGGCACATATATACATATATACATATATATATGTATTATTTTTAAACGTGCTATAATTTCTCACTGTTGAATGTGTGCAAATGAACCGAATTTGCGAGTGGAAAGAGTAAATGTATACACCGCAATATGGGTTTTGTGACAGGAGAAGAAGTTCGAAAAGAAAACTGAAGCAAATACATGCATACATACATATGTATACATAATGAAAGATGGTATACAATTTAATAGTACACCCAATATTCCTCGTGCACTGATGTTGGCCTGTTGAGCTTCGTGCGTACAATGCGATTTGCTTTTGCTGGGTAGTTAAAGGTAGACTAAAAGCTTGAATGATGCAAGGGGGAGGGAGAGGGAGAGGAGGGACAGTAGCGGCGTGTATGGCTGTGTATCTACAACAATGGTACGCAAACAGCGCGCGGGCAGTAGTGTCATTATTATCTTCTCGAACACCGTTTTAAGTTTGGTTATAGAGACAAGAGCAATAAGGTAGCAGCGCAGAGGAATAAGGTTGAGGGTAAGGGGTAGCGAGAATTAAATATTTTTTCTTTAAGAAATTCTCGTCGCATTCAAGGATGTGTTCTTATCTTTGGTAACAAATATTTATTACCGAGTCCGTAAGGCGTAAGGAAACATTCCGCTCGTGTTTCGCTCCACCTTGCTTGCTTTACGAAAACAAAAACAAAATCACACAAAAATGTCGCTACATACACAGCCTCCAAGCACTTTCATTATGTTCTACCATATCTCCTTTGGCTTATCCGCTAACTCCAACACTTTTGTTGCGTCTTTTTTGCCTGCAAGCTAAAAAGTTCATTTCTCTTGTTCGACTCCCTCGCTCACTCCTTGCGTTTTACTCCATTTAAAATGTGGTATCCGCTTGATGTCAAGCTATTTTCGTATATAAAATAATTCTTTTGTGTGTCTCGTATTTCTGGTAACTTCTGAGAGGGTAGCAGCGCGCAGCAGTGGGGAGTAGAGGATGAAGAAAAAGGTGAAAAAGTGTGCTTGTTTCGAGGCGGAGAACGTCAACGTCGAAAGAAAAAAGCAACAAATGATTTTTCAGCTCTTTTTCTGCACGAATTCGTGTGTGTTTTTGCATAATTTTATTTTTATGCTCTTTGAATTAATTTTAATATTATACATATATACGTACCGCGAGCGTTTCGACCAAAAAACTCTATTGTTGGATTGAGTTGAAGAAAGCTCCTGCTTCGCTTACAAATTTTTTCAATTTTTTTTAATATTTTTTTTTTTATTTGCTCTCGGAACGCTTACTTGTTGGCGCTCGTTCACCGTGTGTTGGCGCTCGTTCACCGTGTGTCTGTGCGCTCTGCGCCCACATATACATATATGTACACACATATGTATGTGTGTGTATACCATTTTTTTCACTACTCGTCGAAATTGCCGGTTTATTGGTACTCCTGCGAGCTGCTGCGGCTGCGGCGCATGCGTTTACCTAGGCCGTGTACTGTTTGTTGCTCCTACTGCTCGGGCCACTGGCTCGTACATTCAATGTATATTATGGTTGTTCATATGTACGAAGCAAATGTGTAATGTGAACCATGACCATGCCAAAGAATGAAAAATTATCGCACAGCACAGTTCAGTACAAATCTCAATCCAGCCGAGAGCTACGCACCGGCAACAGCAACAACACAAGAGCCAGCAGAAAGCAGTCGGTAAAGCAGGGACCAACTAACGAACCAACCAACCAACCAACCAACCATCCGGGTTGTGAGGTATGGTGAAATCTCCAAAAAAAAAAGATGAAAATAGAGGAAATTGTATTTGGTAGTTGTTGTTGCTTCTGTTATTCTTCTTGCTCTTGGCATTTTGGCTTGAAGTTAGTTTGCCAATTTCGATTGTTTTTTTAGTGTTTGCCAAGCAGTCGTGTACATTTATATGTTTATACATATGTGTACTCGTATCTACATGTATGTATGTATGTAAAGGTGAATTCGTTCGTTGCTCCAGCGCCCAATTTTCATGATTGGAAAAATAGTTGTTGTCTACTTTTGCTCGGAGCTACCCCTTTTTATGGCCCCACCAAAAGTGTAGTGGTTTATTTGCAGGTATATATATATATATATATGTATGTATGTGCCTCTAGATGTATGTATGCACGTTTGCAAGGTGTTTAACGCGCTCGATGATGCTTTATGGTGTTTTTTTTTCATTTCTTTTTTTTACTTGATTTAAATTTCTTTGTCTTACCTTTTGCCCGCCATTTATGTATACATATGTACATGAATCTTTAGAAATCAGGTTTTGGTATATTCTTTTCTTCTTAATTTTTTTGTTGTTAAGCACTTAAAATAGAATTCAGTCATCGAAGATTAATCGTATGTTGCGGCTGGCTTAATAATTTAATCTGGTTGTATGGCTGAGGTGAATTTCAATTTTCTTAATTTTTGAAAAAAAAAAATAAAAATTTTTTTTGGTTATGTACATACATATACAAAGTGTATGTATTTAATGTACGAAGTGTACTTGTTGTTGTTGCGCTGGTTGTAGTTTACAATTATAAATGTGAAATGTAAGTTTGTGCTTGAGTTCACCGAACTAGGTTTCTTTGGAGCGCCAAGAATCTTTGTGAAACCATGATTTTTTTTTGCCAAAGAATGCCGCATTTTATTGTATTTTTGCCGCATTCATTTAGTCTATTTTTCATTTTTGAAATTAAGTGCATTTGAAGCAAAATGAGGATAAACATATTCTCATGCTTTAAAATTAAAAGCCGGGAAAATGTAGTAACGCCGGTATCCCTAACGGTGTAAGAATTTTTTTCTCTTTCTCCGCCTATTTTGCTCAACACTTTTAGAATCTTTAAGTCTGATCATCTGACATTAGTTTTCATTTAAATATTATTTAAAAAACTTTTCAAGTTAAATATAATTTTACTCGATGATCAAAAACTAATAAATTTTTTTTTTTTTTATTTTCAGTTTGGCGTCCTAAACAGCTGAGTATGTAACGGTTGGTTATTTATCGTAACCTACGGAGGGACTGATAAAGTGTCGTTATACAAAGGTATATAGAGAATTCAAAAATAATAAAAAAAAATTTGGAAATATGCCTAAAGTGGGAAAATATAATTAATAAAAGATGTTCAAATAAAAAATATAAAATCCAGCAAAATGATAAAAAATTCTAAATCAAAATAAAAATACAAAATGAAATCAAAAAAATATGAAATTGAAAAGATAAATAAAAAAAAAATTAAAATTGAAAATAAAATTTATAAATAAAATTTTATTAAATTTTATCAATTTTTTATTCATAAAAAATTGATCATAAAAAGAAGCCAATCAGAAAAAAACAAGTAATCATAAAAAATAAATAATAGAAAAATTAAAAAAAATCTAAATAAAAAAGTAAGTATACAACAATTAAAAAAAATATAAAAATTAAATAGAAAATAAATAAATTAAAAAAATAAAAAAAATTCAAAAGAAAATAAAAAAATAAAAAAAAATTCAAAAGAAAATAAAAAAATAAAAAATTAAAAAGAAAATAAAAAAATAAAAAATTAAAAAGAAAATAAAAAAATAAAAAATTAAAAAGAAAATAAAAAATAAATAAATTAAAAAAATAAAAAAAATTCAAAAGAAAATAAAAAAATAATAAAAAATTAAAAAGAAAATAAAAAAATAAAAAATTAAAAAGAAAATAAAAAATAAAAAATTAAAAAGAAAATAAAAAAATAAAAAATTAAAAAATTAAAAAGAAAATAAAAAAATTAAAAATTTAAATTTAAAAGAAATAAATATAATAGGAAAATAAGTAATGAAAAAATAAAAAATGTATATTAAGACAAAAAAATTAATTGAACATTTTAAAATTAAAAAAAGGAAAGAATAAATAAATATATTAAAATTAAATTAAATTTATAAAATTATAATTAATAAGTAAATAATAAAAATAAAAACTACAAGGGGACAAGTTTACAAGTATATTTGCGCTTGAAATAAAAATTAAAACATAAAATAAAATATATTAAAAACATAAAAAATATATTAAAAAATTAAAAATAGAAAAATATACAAAAAAATAGAAATATATTAAAATAAAATATTAAAAATCAAATAGAAAATTTAAAAAAATGTAAAAGAAAAAATATTAAACAATAAATAATAATATAATACAAAAAAATATTTAAAAATAGAGAAAATATTAATGATATAAAGAAAAAATATAAAAAAAAAAATTAGAAATAATGAAAAAATATATAAAAAATAAGGAAAAAATATTAAATTATAAAAATTAGAAAATAAAGAAAAAATATTAATAAAAAATTAAAAAAATTGTCTTTATTTTTTAATTTTAATATTTTAATATTTTTTCCTAATTTTTTTTTAATTTATTAAAAAATTAAAAAAAACGTTAAAAAGAGGAAAATTTTCAAATAAACATTTAAAAAAATTAATTAATTGTTAATTTAAAAAAAGAAAATTTTAAAAAATGTAAGAACAAAAAAATTAAAATTGAGAAAATATTAAAGATATAAAGAAAAAATATTAAAAAAAATTAAAAATAAAGAAAAAATATAAAAAAAAAAAATTAAAAATAATGAAAAAATATAAAAAAAAAAAAATTAAAAATAATGAAAAAATATAAAGAAAATTTAAAATAATGAAAAAATATAAAAAAAATAAGGAAAAATTATTAAAATTAAAAAATAAAGAAAAATATTAATAAAAAGGAAAAAATTAAAAAAAAAACAAGAAAATTTTATTAAAAAATGAAAAAATCGTTGAAAAGGAAAATTTAAAAAAAATATAAGGACAAAAAAATTTAAAATTAAAAAACAAAAATATTGAAAAAATTTAAGGAAGTAATAGAATAATAAAATAAAAAATAAGAAGTGAAAAAATCAAAAAGAAGGAAGTAAAAATAAAAATGAGAAAAATTGTAAAATTAAAATATAAAAAAAAATAATAAAATAATAAAAATACCATATGAAAATAAAATTAAAAATAGAGAGTTAAAAACATGAATGTAAATTAAAAATTAAAAACAAAAAGGAAAAATATAAAAAATGAAGAATATAAGTGAAAAATGAAAAATGTATAATAAAATAAAATGCAAAGAAAACGAACAATATTAAAGAAAAAACCTAATATTTACAAAAAAATAATGAGAATAAATGAAAGTTAACAAAAAATTTTAAATAAATAACATTAAATAAAAAATGTGTAAATTAAAAGAAAGTAAAATCTTTTGAACACATGACAATAAATTTAAGTAAAAACATAGAAAATTACAAAAATTAAGTTAATTTTAGCAATTAAGATAAAATGATAAAAAATGAAAGAAAATATAAAATGACATATATGTAGAGAAAATATAAAATGACAATTATGTAAAGAAAACATTTAAAATTAAAATTACATAAATAAAAATTAAAATTGCATATCAAAAATAACAATACAAAAATTAAAACAAAAGAAATAAATTAAAAAGCTGAAGAATCAATAATTGATTAAATAATACATACCTATATAAAAAATAATAATTCCAAAACTAATAATAATATTTAAAAAAATATTAAACAATGTTTATGATTTTAACTGACAATGCATTCCTAAATAAATAAATATAAATATTAAAAAAATATAACGTAAATAGTATATAAAATGGCTTTTATTTTATATACCTTTGCTTAAGATAACCAATTTTTTGTCAGTTCCTCCGCTCATACATATCAACTTAGAAATACTTATACATAGAGTATTACCTAATTTTTGCAATGAAAAATGAATGAATTTCGTCAACAAAACACTATGCATGCTAACAACAGATATCTTTAATAACAGCAACGACGAAAGCGGTGTCGGTGGTGCAGGTGACGGTGACGGTGACGGCGAACCCAGACGACATGCCGTTGTCGACAATTATGCTGCAGCAACAACCATAAGACATACTTCTAACATTAGTCATAAGTAAAGCAATACCAAAGAAGGCAACGATAAGGTACACGAAAGAAAAAGGAAAAACTTCCAAAAATAAAAAATCTACACTGATAAGTATTTGTGAAGCATTGTTGCAGAGCAATTTTATTTGGCGAAAGTCAAAAGGAAGACGACCGCCACCAACATGTCGGCCTCGTCACTGTCTTTGTCTGAGTCGCAAAAGGTGGTGGATGGCAGCAATGCAGTAGGAGGAGATGGCGGTGTACGGGAGTTCGTCGAAGGTTGGACACTTGCGCAAACACTTGGCGAGGGTGCCTACGGCGAGTGAGTATATATTTATTTTTAATTTTTCTTAAATTAAATTATGTTTTCTTTGATTACTCTAGAATATTTTGGCGTGATAAGAAAGGACTTCAGACATTAGCTTCATATATATTCATATGTAGGTAGTGCGTTTTAACCAGCTGCCTGATTTACTCTTCGCTTAACGCATTCCAATGTACTTTATTTTTTTGTTTTCAAATAATCTTTTCAATGTAATTAGCAAACCAAACGCGTATATGATAATGTTTATATTCTTCGTAAAATACGAAATCATTTTTGGATAGTTATGCGCATGTCCGCATTTGGTATAGTATGACATGCGCTAACTTCCATACTCTACGTAACTCTTTCGTTTAACGGTGTCAATTTCACACAGCTCTTCTCTTGCGGCTGAGTGCTAGTTGTGGCATTTATATGTACATTTTTTATGATAATTCCATTCTCATCAATTTGCCATATTTTCATTTGCAAATTGAAATGAATTGAAAATTTTCAATATTTATTTAAGGCCAAAATCTGAGTTTGCAAAAAAATCTTGCGAATTCGCCCACACATTTTTTACCCTTTCTTCCATATCAAACACTCGTGGAATTCACCATTTGCTACATAAGTACATACATTTCTTTTGCATTTTGATTTGCAACCCCCACGCAAACGCAACAAAAGTGTAATAATGAAAATAAACGCAAAAATAAATTTAATATACATACATACAAACATTCATAAGCTTTTTGAGCATTGTTGGTGGTATATAATATTAATATCACCGAGTAGGGATTACACGACGAGCGACTAGAACCACAAGAGCCATCAACCAAGACAACCAATGCTAGTAGGAGAGTTGTAGTTAAAGAATTCGTGTTTAGCTAGCATGTCAGTCGGTCGTGTACCTGCTGTGTGCAATGTGCTCTGCTTTTACGATATCATCATCCAAAATATCGATATGTATTAGTAGAGGCAAGTAAAAAAGATTTTGCAACTGTTTGGCCTCTTATTGCATACCAAGAAGGCGAATAAAAAGCTTCAATTGAGTGGTCATCTATTGTCTAATATTTTATTTTGCTTCAATATTATTGTGTGCATATATTTTTTATGTTATTTTGTCTGCGTTTCCTTTTTTCTATTATTCTGTTATTTTTTATTTTTTTGCAGAGTAAAATTGTTGATTAATCGCCAAACCGGCGAAGCTGTTGCTATGAAAATGGTCGATTTGAAAAAACACCCGGATGCTATGCTCTCCGTACGCAAAGAAGTTTGCATACAAAAGCTTTTACAAGATAAACATATTCTTCGTTATTTCGGTAAACGTTCGCACGATGATGTGGAATATTTGTTTTTGGAGTATGCAGCCGGCGGTGAATTGTTTGACAGAATTGGTAAGTACATAAGTATTAGAAATTGTAATTGTAAGCTATATGTTTATTCCTAATTCGGCTTAAATAATTGTTCGAGTATGCATCTGTGTAGTGCAAAGAGTTAATGGCTCAACTGATATAATTTTTGTTACAATTGCAACATTAAGTAATCTTCTAAATCACATGTAATACGTTCAGGAGGCATTATTCTAAGAATGCTTTCTTTGTGTAATTAAATTATTAAAAAATTAAAATGAAAAATACTCTAATAAAAAAATTGAAATAAAATAAAATATTTTAATTGATAATAAATCAATATATTTACAAATAAATACAAAAGGTACTAAAATAAAAAATTTAAGTTTGGAAATATTAAATAAAAAATATAATATATATACTTAAATATAAAAATGTAACAATAAAAAATAAAAAAAATTGTTTAAGTTAAAATATAAAAATGCAAGATTAAAAATTAAATTTTATAAAAAAAGTGTTGTAAAAATATGTCTAAAAATGGGATGTAAAAATAAAAATAAGAACAAAATGATTAAAAAAGTATTACACAATAAATAAAAATTAAAAAAAAAAATTTAAAACAAAAAAATAAATATTAGAACGAAAAAATAAAAATTAGAACGAAAAAATAAAAATTAGAAAAAAAAGAAAAATGAAAATTAGAACAAAAAAATTAAATAAAAATTGGAACAAAATAAAAATTAAAAAAAAAACCAAAAAAAAAAAAAGTAAAACAAAAAAAATAAAAGTAAAACAAAAAAAAATAAAATTAAAACAAAAAAAAAATAAAATTAAAACAAAAAAAAAAATTAAAGGTAAAACAAAAAAAAAAATAAAAGTAAAACAAAAAAAATAAAATTAAAACAAAAAAAGTAAAACAAAAAAAAATAAAATTAAAACAAAAAAAAAATAAAATTAAAACAAAAAAAAAATTAAAGGTAAAACAAAAAAAAAAATAAAAGTAAAACAAAAAAAATAAAATTAAAACAAAAAAATTTAAATTAAAACTAAAAAAAGAAAACGTGAAACAAAAAAATAAAAATTAAAACAAAAAAAAAATAAAATTAAAACAAAAAAAATAAAATTAAAACAAAAAAAATAAAATTAAAACAAAAAATAAAATTAAAACAAAAAAAAAACTAAAATTAAAACAAAAAAAATAAAATTAAAACAAAAAAAAAATAAAAGTAAAACAAAAAAATAAAAATCAAACAAAAAAAATAAAATTAAAACAAAAAAAATAAAAGTAAAACAAAAAAAAAATAAATTAAAACAAAAAAAGAAAAACTACAGCAAAAAAATAAAAATTAAAACAAAAAAATAAAAACTAAATAAAAAAAATAAAAATTTAAACAAAAAAATTAAAAATTGAAACAAAAAATAAGTAAAAATTAAAACAAAAAAATTAAAATCCAAGCAAAAAAATATATATAAAAAATAGAACCAAAAAAATCAAAGTGAACAAATAAATGAAAATTAGAACAAAAAATTTGAAATTAGAACAAAAAAATGAAAATTAAACAATAAAAAAAAAAATGCAAAAAAAAAAAACAATAAAAGGAAAGAAAAATTAAATATTAAAAACATCGAAGTAAAACAATGAAGTATAAAATAATAAAAAAAATAAAAATGTCTAACAGTGATATATTAGAAAAGAAAAATAAAACTAAAGCAATAGTAATATAAGAAGTAAAAGAAAGCTATAAAAATAAAAAAAAAATAAAAAATAAAAATAATGCATTAAAAGAAAGAAAATAAAAAAAATTTATATTAAAATAAGACAATAAAATATAAGTAAAAGCAAAAAAATAATTAAAAAAAACAATAGAAAACAACGAATAAAAAAAAACTAAAAATTAAGGATTTAAAAAATGAAACAATAAATAAATTAATGATTGAAATATATATAAAATCAGGAATACCAGACTACAGAAGGATTTAATTTTAAAAAAGAATGGAAAAATAAAAATAATAAATATACGCATACATATATAATTGAAAAATTGTACGAAATATATAAAATAAACCTATTATTGAAATAAAAATATATATTAAAAATTTTACAAAAAAAAAAAAAAATATATATATAACATACTCTTATATAAAAATGGGAGAATTAAAATGAAAAAAATCAATATAAAAATTAAACATAAGCTAATAAAAATACAAAACCTGAATCATGAAAAAAATAAACATTTCATAAAATACCTTTAAAAAGGGGAAAAACCATCACTCCATAGTGATGGTCAGTTTTGGCCTTATGAGGTCTTCTATCATGTTAGACTAGAGTTATATATAAAAGAGAATAAACTAAGTATCGTATTCAGTGGTGATAGAATACTCGTATCACTAAAAAATTTGTATTATTACTCAAAGTATGAATGGAGAATAATTTGCTAAATATATTTTAATAATTTTTAAACTGCTTAGTGGATGTCAGTATTTCTTCTAAATAATTATTAAAAAATTCTATTATGCGATAATTAACTACACGAAAATATATTTGCTACCTTTTCGTAGACGATTTAAGTAGAGACACATTTAATGAACTATTAAAAGCTATAATTTTGAATAAAATCACTTAAATTTAATTTAAATTTTTTATGAAAAGCTAACAATGTTTTTGAAGACATCTCGTAGTCGAACGCTTACAGACTACATATAGTCGTACTCGTCGTGTATTGCATAAATAAGATTTTGAAATATTTCCATTTATTGATTTTCTTTATTTCTTTATTATTACAATTTTAAGAAAATAATTATAAGAACTAAATATCACTTTTTTTTTTTACAAAATTTTTTCATTGCCTTCGCCTTTAATTCAGTTGAATATTTAATTTTAACTATTCATAAATCTTTATTTAAAGATGCAAAGTTACTTAATGGAAAAATGGCATCATTATTTGTTTGATTAATAATCAATAAATAAATATGGCATGGCGTCCCAATAAAAATTTATTTATAATTACAACTAACCATCTTTAATAAAAGGAATTTGCCTCAACTTCGCTCTGAATATTAAATCTAGTCATTTGATGAGTTTTCCCATTTAGCGCTTATTGTTTTCCAACATTTTTACAACATATTTGCATAGATATGAATGAGTACTTACATACAAAAATCTCTCTTTCCTATTTATTTGTTATCATTTTTATATTACTTAGCCAACTATTTTCGCCCATTCTATTTATTAATAATAATGCATAAATGCAAATTAAGAGGACGGAAGGACGGACGAACTGCACTATGAATATGTGTATGATGAGTGTCCATAACAATGCCGAGTACTGTCGCCATTAACATTTCAAGCAGCATAAAACAGCCCAGCCACACTGCGAGTATACTTTTTCCTTACTCAACTTCTAACTTTCCAGATGCTTATTGGCATTGTTTGTTTGCTGTGCCGAGATAGGCTTGAGTAGATTGGTTGTTGCCCAGATTGGCATTGGGATTGGGAATAATGCATTGTGCTCTGCTTGGTTGACTCGATGACTGAAAGCAGTAGCGTTCATTGTTTATTTGGTTCGGTGTGAATATATGTGGGCTTATTTTTTTATTTTTATTTTTTATTATTATTCATATTTACAGCAATGATGTGCAAGAGTTGGATTCTTGATACGTTTGTTTGTTTGTTTGTTCGTTTGATTGTTTATGGTAGCGCAACATCCTGCTCCTGATGTGTACTATTTATTCATCAGTGCCTATTGTTGAAAAGCGTGGTTAGTTAGTTGTATATATATTTTTTAATAGTTTTATTATGTAGTGCTGGCTGCTTGCCGTTGAAAAGGAGGAGAATACATACATTATTAAATTGTGGTATTTAAATTAAAAAATGGAAACTGGAAATATTCTTTAAAATTAAATATTTATTTCAATTCTAAATATATTAAAAAAATATATAAATCAGTTTCGCTTATTGAACTGTCTGATAATAAATATATACACTCGTATGTATGTAAAAAAGAATTAAATAAAAGTTCTATTGTCGAATTAATTATAAGTGCTGAAAATTTCTTCTACAGAAATTTTGTTTATTTTTCCCATTTAAAAGAACATTACAGGACTATTGTAATTAAAAATTAATATTTTTTAAATTTAAATTGTAATAAAAGTCGAGTTAAAAATAATTTACATACTTTTTCGAAGGAATTTCGCAATAAAATTATAAGAAAAATAATTTACAAAAATATTTTGAAACATTTTATATGCGCTTAAATTGCCTAAAATTTAAAAATTTGTATCTAACCTGAAATTGTAAAAAAAAAATTCCATTTTATTTTTTATTTTTTTATACCATTTGCATGAAATTATATATTAAGTTCGGGCCGATATACGTATGTAAGCACCAGATGGAGAATAGAAAGACTCCTTAAAATTTATACCGATGAGAGAGATCAGTATGACGAGCTGAGGTACAAATGTATATCCGTCTGTTTCTATTCAAATTAAGCCCTAAGTTTTTGAGATATTTCAACCAGACTTGATGAGCAGATGTATTGACCAGATCTAGCCACTATGACTAATAGCTTTCATGTAACCAATTTGTACAAATATGTGGTTTTGGGTCATAAATACTTCAATACAGCAACAAAGTACATGATACCTGGCACTTATCGTGTATTTGTATAACGAATTGCACATTGCTACTGAAAAACATCGAAATCGAACGACAATAACATATAGCTCATATACAACCGATTACTGAAGATACGAGATTTTGGGTTGAAAAATTAGCATCTAAAGTGTGAAATTTTTTATAGACAAAAAATTAGCACCGAAAATCATCAAAATCGAAGTACTATATCATATAGTTCCCATACAATCGTTGTGTTCAGATGTGTGGATTTGGATGGAAAAATCCTTCGAAAATTTAATTATCGTTAAATGGTATTTAATTAAAGTATGTTTTAAGAACTACTAAAAAATAATATTCTCTTACAATTCCATTTTCAAATAAAATGCAAAAAAAAATTTGCAATGTTTAGCTACAGTTTCAGTGTAAAACT